AAAAAAAAAAGCAAATAGAAGCCTTTCAGTAGTCAGGCCAGAGCGGTTCAAAGACACACAAATGTCAACACCTAAGCCGCAAAAAGTTGTACAAAAAAAAGTGGCAAAAGTAAAAGAACATTACAAAGGCCAGTGTTAAGTGAACTAACAATCTTCAACAATACTTAAGTATGGCCGAAAAATAACTAAAAACCATAAAACAATTACCAGGAACGTGTCTCTGCTTAGATTAGTATTTCACTGTAATCAATTTTTCCAATTGTCATCTGCATAGCGACAGCAAACAGCAAATAGCCGAGATAGACTTGGCAACAGCAAGATGAGATCGTTAATGCAAAAAACCATTAAAATATAGTTTTCCTTTTGTTGCCTTCTAAATTCACCAGGATATATCGTAGAGAATCATTCGTTAGTTATTGGAAGCAGACCTAAACATTATGCGTCAAATAAGTTCCCAGATGAACGTCCAGATAAATGTGTACAGCTAACAACAGGTCAACGAAACGTAGCCATGGCTTTCTAGTCAAGAATGCTACTAATATTAGAAAAGGACGATGAAACCTAAACAAAAACGATATTATACCATCAAAACAATGTGACGACATTACTTGCATCATATAAATATTTTTAAGTAGAACAATTTCGCCAGCACAGAAAAGGTTGATGATGATATAAGGCAACAAAAACGATTGGGCAGACTGATTTTTGGTCAAACTCTGCTTGTTCTTTAGTCTTTTTTTTTTCCTTTGGCATCTGTATCACTATAGGTATTTATCTCGGCAAGAATGCCAACAAATAAATAAATAAATAATTTTTCGGCAGATAACACAGTCTAAATAAACACTTAATCAAATACTAGTTATTGATAAAACAAAAATAAAATAATAGAGAAGAAAAAAAACAAAGTTTGCCTTTCTTTTTGTTTGTTATAGACCAATCTTTTTTGACTGTTCAATTTTAAATTAGCCCATATATCAAAATATTGAAAAAGTAAAAAAACAAAAGAAGAAAAAAGAAAAAACGAAGAAAAAGATAAATATTTTATGTTATTCTACCTGTTGAGCAGAAGAATAGACAAACTTGTTGCTGCTGCTGCTGCTGTTCCTGCTGCTGCTGCTGCCACTTGTTTTCATTACTGATTTCAATCAGTGGTATATTTGCACAAAAATTTAAAACACGGAAATAATAAAATATTAGAAAAAGAAATATTCGGTTTATCAACATGTGCATTTATTGTTGTATGACAATTACTGATGTATTCATAGAATAAATATATGCAGTTGAAAATTGAAGAGTATGGAGAATGAGAAAGTGGAAGGGGAAACGGAGTGGTGGCGAAGGAGGGAGTCGAATTTTAAATTTTTATCAACCGAACTTTTATTCGCTGAATGGTGATGATTTTTTGTTGGCCAGTCGAACACAGTGTCTATTGATGTGATGACCACATAACGATTTAACGGTTTCCCGAATATCCGATCCTTCACATTTGTATAACATTCATATAATACATGTATTTGCGATTCTGTTGTATTCGATGTGGTTTATCTGGTTTCTCTACTGCCATTTATCATTTATTCACTAAAAATAGTTGCAATAAACTGAGTAAATTTGTAAAGTTATTTCCCTGTTATTCTTTTTTTCCTTTTTATTTTTTTGTCATTTATTTATTTATTTTTGTTTAACAAACCTTACTGTGACCTTATCTTGCAATTAAAAAAAAAAA